TGTATGTAGGAGAGCAGTAGGCCAAGTAGGCAAAATTATAATCTAACCTTCCCTTTGAACGTCTGTACAAAACTTCATTAATTTATTTCAGAAATCTTTCCAAAATCCATCAGGCAGTCCCACTGTATCTGGAGTACGATCTTTGATCTAAGAGCCTCTTTCTATTTTTTGCTGATTTTGTTCAGCTCTTGATCTTAGAGCAAGTGGGCATACCCATTCTTCTGATGTTCAACAAGATAACTGATGCCATTAATGTTTGTAATTAAGTGCAGAACATAATGGAAATGGACATTTTGGGTTCAACCGTTTTTGCTCTGTGTATACCAGCATCCCACATGATACTCGTCTAAACTGCTCTTTGTTATTCTACAAAATATAGTCAGGTATCCGTAAGACATGCTGTCGTCTAGGTTAACAAGTTATGTTCTGTCTCACTGCAGTCCTCTATGAATGGAAAGATTACTGAAAATGTCTGAATGAATACTAGTCTCAGACGGCAAGGTGGTGTAGTGGCTAGCATTGCTACCTCACAGTGCTGGGGCCTTGGGATTAATTCCTGAGGCACTGTCTGGGTGGAGTCTGTATGTTCTCCCCGTATTCATGTGGGTTTCCTCCAGGTGCTCTGGATTCCTCCCACAGTCCAAACACATACTGGTAGGTTAACAGGCTTCTGGGAAAACTGGCCCAGGTGTGCGTCTGTTTGTGTCTGTGTGTGCCCTGCAATGTACAAGCGTCCCGTTCCGTTCAGGGTGTATCCTACCCTGAGCGCAAAGCTTGCCAAGACAGGCTCTGCCTCATTCTTCAATGTTTTTAGCTTCAATTTGATTAAAACTGTAATGCAACAAGAGTCTAATGTGTTAAGCATATTTTTAGAATAGATACTGACCATTCAAGAGGTTGAATAATTGTCTTTGATTCACCTTTTAAACGTCTTCCATGTTTGTGAAATCATTCTTGATAAAGGCCGTGTGCCAAACGTTGATGAAACATTTCACTGAGCTCTTTTTGTCACAGTTATCTCAGATGTTATAAAAGACTTTCATTATAAAAAAGATTTTTGGCATTACATATACTTTGGGGTGTATGCGGAAAAGTTAAAAGAAAAAAAATTGCATAAGTAGTAGTAATAAAATCCACACGGACAAGTTTTATAACTGGTACACTACAATGAGATTTGGAAAGCAAATATTGGATGTTTTAGTGGAAATGTATTAAATTAAATATTTGTACATCTAATAGTATCCAATAATCTTGGCGAAAATCCATATTTAATATTTGTTACTTAATACTTTTGTCTCTATAAAATTTAAAGCTTTTAAGATTTTCTAAGAATACAAGATATGAACATGATTTGAGTTCTAAAGAAAACATAATCATAGCAATACTTTCAGCTGAGCTCTACAAGACTGCAATGTTTAGACTGTGAAGATAATGTTCTAAAAAATCTGAAATTCATGTGTTATCAAAAGTGACATTTATCCACAAATTAACGCACTCAGAACTGTATGGTCATATGGTCAGTTTTACTCTGAACATGCAGAGGCAAATTTTATTTTAAAACAGGACTGTAATTTCTGTTCAAAATTCACCTAAAGGCTAACAGATATCAACACTCAACGAATGTCATCTATATGTACTTCAATGTAATCATGATTCTAATTTTTGATTAATTAAAAAGTTTAATAGTTAGGCTTATGTATATTAAAAATGAATATTGTACTCTCAACTGTATTTTTTTAAGGGAGCCTCCTTGAAGTCCCCCCATCGCACACTCTAGAGGTCATTAGAGCAGTGTTCAGTCTACTGTAGATGATGTAAGAGCACTCCTTAAATGTAAACTTTCCACATTTTGTTTCTTTTATTTTTTAGTGTTTGGGGAATGAACTTTAATTATCTGATAAAGAAACAATCTGCCTGGTTATCTATGTTTATGTTTAATCTTTGTAAATGAACATTAATGGGTTTTTCAAAACACTGTAAATTAAAATAGGAAATAAAATCCTTACTGATATTCTCTGAATATCATTGCTAAAATTACATTCACACAAATCACATTTATTTCTGGCCCAACAAAAATATACTACTTCTTTTCTCACCTGTTCTATTGACCTTTTGTACAGAAATCACAGATAAACACAAACACTGTCAATGTTTCAATGGCACATACAGTACATCATAACCATTCCCTTATGGTAATGAGTATGACTGTTTAAATTTTAAATAAATGTGACTGTTTAAATTTAAAGGAGTTTAAATACCACAGCAACAACTCTTTTGTCAAACAGACACACATACAGTAGTAGCTGTATAGAACTTACAAGCAACAAATAACTTTGTACAGTCACTCAACTTTGGCCTGTATTATACAAAAAGGCTCTGACTTACAGTATATGTGAAGTAGCATTAAAGCATGTCTTTTTTATATTACTCAATTAAGTTCAATTACTTAATTGAACTATATGACAGAAAGTAATTATTAAGCAAAATATTGTAGGAGCAGAAACTCTTGTTTTTAATTCTATAATAAGACTACTGTACATGCTACACAGTTGTGTTCCAAGACTACAGCTTGTTACAATACTGCATGCTCCTGAAACTGTCTGGAATTGTTTTTTTTTTTACAAATTGGGCTTGCAGTGTACTCAATAACCATCACACCAAAGCTCTTACAAAAGCACCTGTCTCCAAACGTTGACGCGATGGAAGTGCTTGCATTGTGGTTTTCCCAGTAGCTGAGAATGATGTCAGACAGCCAGCATCCTCAAAGACAAACAACTGCTGCCCGAATGAAGGCCGACATCTTGAAAATGAAGGCACAATTACAGGTTCATTAACTGAACAGATGCTGCAGCAGCTTGAAGTTTTATACATTGTGGAACCTCCCTTCTCATTCTTTAAGTTCTGCAAAAACCTCAAGATGCAGAAATAAGCCAAGTACTCCACATTTTGGGTGAAATATCTTGAAATGGATTTTGTGGCACATGTGAATGTACAGTTTATGCTTTCAAGCATCGTATTGTAGCGCTCTGGGGTTCACATGGGTATGCGCCCTCGCCGCTGCCGCCTAGGGTCACCCTCCCACCGCTGGGGACTCGAACCCGGGCCTCTGGCGTCACTCAACAGGGACCCAGCCAGCTGAGCTAAAGGAAAATCTCCCATCAGCCCAATGGCTGCAGTCCCTGCTATTCACAGGGAAGGGGGCGGTGACGTCACCACGCTGGTAAGCCAGCTCGCACAACCTCTAATGTCAGCCGTATGCGTTACAGTATTATAGAAATACAGTTTATTTACTACATTAACATACAATAATTCACAAAAACTGCATTAATAAAATTTTTCAACACAGTTTGAATTAAAAACTTTAGGCCTCTTTGCATTCTGTGTTCCCAAAGTAAACCAGAAATTAATCAAGCATTCCACTTAGCAAACTTTATTAAGAGTTACGCCACCTGTTTACAACACCAGAAATTCCACAGGATTTAATATAAAGGAGGAGATCCACTCTATCCACCACTGAAGTGTAGCCACTCAAATTCACATTACTGATTTGGCGTAAAGATAATGGACAAACTACTAAATATTTTTTAGACGTAACCAATGAAATCCCAGCGTAAGAGGCTGCACGTGGAGTATGTAACCTTCCCTGAACTTCTGGCTTGTGGAAAAGCAAAATGAAGAGCCCAAGGGGAGCATGAACTCCACAGAGAGAGGCTGTAAGGTGTAAGAGAGTAAGAGAGTAAGGTGTTAAGGAAAACTGGCGTGGTCAGGCCCACACCAACACCAAGGCAAGAACAGGCTTTTAACCAGTCAACTGTGCACATGCAGACATACCATGGCAACCACTGAGGCAAGGTTCATTGGCACAGATAAACCTAGTGTGAATAAAGGTTGTCTGAAGGCAAACTCAAATGCCACCAGACTAAGAAACCTGTTATTCTTGAGCTACTTCTTCTCCATTGGGTTCATGTGCGGGCAACTTTTCACTCCAACGCGAGTGTCAAGTTGAGCTCTTTTAAAAAGGAACATTATCCCCTTGCTGTCACGCCCGTTTCAACGCTTCCGTTCTCTAAAGGGGGATTTCACAATTAAACCGGCTGGGCTCAGACATTCTGCCAATTTTAACCATAGCTGTCAACAAATCTTCTCATAGGCGGGCCAGTTATTATTTGCTGAGATAAGATTAAGCTCTTTATGGTGCAGAATACATCATGGTAAAGCAAACAATAAATTCCTGGTAAGGGCTGCTTGCGATTGTGCAATCAGCTGCACAGAGCAAAGCCTAGCCTGTGATACCATCTTTTAGAGCGATCACACGCTATGGGGGGACTAGATGGTGTCAAGGGGGAACTTGACTTCCGACAAACCTGACTGTAGTGGGAGAGAAAGTGATGAGTGAAGTTTTGTCTAAACTTTATGGCGTTTAGGCTTATACAAAGATGATTTGTTTCCACGCGTCTCTGATTTCTTTGAAAAACTGTCATAATTCCTCACACAAGGAGCGAGGGCTTTGGACCCAGTGGACGGACTTCAATGACTTCGCAGAATTTTATATGAAAGCGTGAGTGGCGCAGAATCTGATACAGAGCTCTTCTGAACGCCAACAATTCAGTGCAAACAGTAATTAATTTACACTTATTACAGAGTACAGTTCTAGAACAACATATTATTCCATAACTATGGAATTCCGTAAATTTCCTGTTGCGTCACTTGCGTATTAGCCAAATAGTAAACAATTCATATGACCTTATAAGATAATTGCGTTGTTTTAGTTATATGTTTGAAAAACATAAAATATATACATGTACGCTTCATCAAATACAGTTTAAGAGATTTATTGTATTACATTAAGTTCTCAACCAATGAACTGAAGAAGAATGAATGATAGATATTAAAACAGTTACTTCCCGGTAAGCCTGTGCTGTAGTTTATATAAGATTTCCAGGCAGGGCTATTCTGACGGACCATGATGATGATAACAGCAACGTACTGTAGCAACTTACCTGTTGACTCTGATGCAATTTTGGCAGCTCGATCTCCATCACGGTAGCGAGTTGTAATCCTTTCCTCCCTTACAACACACCCAATATCCTAAGTGTCAGTGTGTCCCCTCGCCACTATATGAAATGACAACTATCAAACACACTAGATCGTAAGGCATGTATCTCTTCTGTGTTAGAAAATGCTTCAAGTCATACGAAAGCACACGGAAACCCCAGCAGATCCCGAAAGCCCAGCCCACAAGCTGCGGCAGCAGCCAGTCAAGGACGTCCAGACTAACTGCGGAGGGATCGTCCCCCCTAATCCTTCAATTTCGCCTTTCGCTTCACAAGGGCTATAAATATTAAGAGTTGTGCGAGGCACGTTTTGCTCTTTACATTTTTTTTACCCTCTCACAAAACTCAGTTCTCTCGCAAACATAGATATGTCTTAAATTAGCCGTCAGAGTATGCGAGACCTGAGGTTATGAGAAATAAGTTTTCTTGAATTTGCTACAGTATTGTACTTATGTAAAAAAATCAGATAACATGCTGTAGGTTATTCTTTTATTTTTTTCCTGTATTGTAATCCCGTTTCGGTGATATTGTTTCAAAATTATGAAATAGCCACTGTATCCAGATCGTTATTATGTCTAATTAGATGTATTTTGGATTATACAGTTTACATCAGGCTACCAAAATAATTATTTGGGAGTCACGTGCTGGAGCATGTGACGTCCATACTAACACCGAGGAATATGGCTTTTATTCTGCTGCAACCCGGTACTTAAATCCTCGGTCACACAGAAGTGTGAATTAATTTCTTAGAACATGTTCCTGATAAATTCTAGACGCTGGTAAGACATTAATGAAACGGTTACTTGGAATTATCAGATGAAAAACATTTCATCTGTTACTATTAACAAACATTGATATTTTATCAAAACGAAATTAAACGTTGAGCAGGACATAACGTTCATTTAAATACATGGTAGGCAGTAATAGTAATATGCGGGGAATAAATAGTACTTATGCCTTTACCGATGAAGATGTCACCAATATACCCATTCATAAAAGCCAGAGGTTTTTAAGCAAAATGCAGATTTGAATAAAAGAAACTCAGGTGTTAGCCAAAAAAGTAAAATCATCAGACATGGATGGTATCTGCTTCAAAGCTCTTCAAATATATTAGTAATCACTAACAGTTGTTAAAAACTGGAGCAGCTGCAGAAAGGTATGAGAATGATGTTCTAATAACAATATAAAGACCAGAATTGCGAGCAGTTTTAACACTTTACAAGCAAACATTATAGTTATTAAAATAGGAAGCGTGTAAGGTTCGGAATTGATGCAAATTGTAAAGACAATAATCTTGGAATTATTTGTGTCTTCACTGACTTTTAAGAGTGCATTTCCTCCAAAGACTGGAGAACACGTTGGAAGTACTGTAACTGCTACATCAGATGGCTAGCGGGGCATTTTAATCTTTCAAAGGCAGTGCATGTCTACCGGCTTTTCTTAGACTCCTTAGACTTCTTAGACTATTAAACATCAAGTCGAGAGGTCAGAAGACACACTCGATGGAGAAGGTGCTTCGGGGTTCAGGCGGGCGCCCTTGCCTGCTGCCTACACAGGTCGGCCCCGCACCGTCGGGCAGCAGACGAGGGTGCCCACCTGAACCCTGTTGTGTTACAATATTTTTAGGTGTATCAAGAAAATAACATAGATTTCTACTGTAAATTCTATTGTAATTATGTTTCTCTTGAACAGAACATTTTCTATTATTGAAAATATATGTTGCTTTGTACAGTTTCTAAGATAGGCTGTAAACAGTGTTACGTTAGCTTTAGCACGTTTTCGGAATTAATCACATAGCCCGTTTTAGATCATTATCAGTTTGAAATTGCAGACGAGAATGGCGTTCGGGCAGTTACATTGGGTTGTACAGAATATCATACTTCTGGACAGGATTTGCATTGTCTTTTTTTTTAACCTGAAACCTCCCAAGTCTGGTAGGCTTTTTTTCAGGAACAGTTCGAAATTGCAGAATTAAATGGTGGTAAGGCCGCCATGCTGGATTGTACAGATATTCAATTTTAACATATTTCCATGATATGAGTAGTTTCAGAGGGTTTTCTGGAAATATTTATACTGACAAATTCTGATAGTGTAATATGCACTGAATAATGAGAGAAAGAACCTTGTGCATAGCAGGTGCTTAGAGATGATAATGTGAAGAAGGTCACCTTGGCGTCACAAGGTGAAAGATCACATGAGAGTTGCCTTCCAGCAAGAGCCAGATTCCAAAACTTTGCAGCAGTTCCTGTCATACTTTTCTCTGCCCCCTGGGTGCAGACTGGTGCTGCCTTTCTTATTGGTCCAGAATGGAAATCTCTAGCTTTCCCCAAGTGGCCTATGAAGAAACTGCAATACCAGCCCCTAGAGCTATTAGTGTATAGGGGTGTTGCAAAACAGCTTGAATGATCAATCTTATGATCAGCATAACCCCTGTAAGGCTGGCCCCCCTTAACATCATCTCTCTGTGACTCCACCTCTTTGAGCCACCACCTGTCAAATCCCTGACTCTTCCCACTGCACAGTTCCATCAGACCCACCCAGCCAGTTCTCTGCTGAAGTGCTGAAGTAGGCCGGCTGCAGTCATGCTATGGGTAGGAGGAGGTGCTCTTGCTCTGTCTCAACTTCTCACTAGGTGGGGCCATGAGTACTGGACCATCTGTTGTCCAGGACCTGTTGAGAAACACAATATCTCTCGCTGCCATTTCCAGGCAGGGAGACTCCTAAACATTCTTTTACTGCTCAGCACTGACCATTAATATTCTCCGGGAGGTGTTCTATGGCATCATGTTTGAAGGTTGTCGATGTCTTTTTATCTGCTCGATGAACATCTCCTGGACCAAGAAGATGGAGGCAGAAATTCCCTTTGTGCAGCGGCCACAGCCCGCTTTGCACAGACTGCTCCAAGCTTCAGCCTGCTAAGTGACACAAAGACTTCATTCTTTCTCAGAGTGGAAGGAAAATCCTCTCTCTTTCCTTCTGGGCCTTTGACTGCCTGCTTGATGCCATTGTCTACTCACTACAATCATCATTGTAATAAAACTGGTAGCTTTAGATAGTCCCTAAGCTAAGAATGATATTGCCCTTCAGGCCCATGAAACAGTGAATAACTTAAAGAGGACAAAATTCAGGACCTAATGCATAACTGGTGTTTGAATAAAAATACAACAGTGACAAAGGTCATCCTGGATGATCTCCTCCAGTGAACAGCCAGCCACTGCAAGGGTGCTCCATCCATAGATGTCTTCAAGCTCTATTATCTGAGGCCTGTCAGCTTGAAGTATATATCTTGCAAAGTCATATAGAGTACTGGAGTCTGTCATTAGGGAGAAATTAGAATGACATTTGTAAAGCAATGATGTCACTGAGAATACTCTGCCCGGGCTATCGAGAGGGAGATTAATAAACATTCTAGTGTTTTTTTGAAGAAGCTTAAAATGATAGTAATGAGAATAGTGATTATAAATGTGTGTAAATATTCCAAACATTTTGATAAGGTTTCCCAAGATTGAAAAGTATTTATAAGGCTGTAATATTAAATTTAGTGCAGTGGCACACATAATTAATCATGAATTAACATGGCCTACATACTGTAAGTTAAAGTGTTGTTAAAAGGACTTTGTTGTGTTTTTCCCAACACAAGTTTCCATTATTTGTATGAAAGGTAGACAACTAATATCTCTTAATCATGAGTCATGAGTAAGTCTGACTCCTTTTGATATAAAACAATTTTACAGTTTTGGCAAGTTTAAGAATTCTGTAAAGAGTGTTTTGAGAATGGGCAGTATCCTTAGATGCACAGAAGTTCTGCAAAAAATCTGGTCTAAACAGAATTCACATGATTTTGTTGTAAAATGTGTAGGGGTACCAGCATTCTCATCTCCACCCCGTGCAGATTCCAAAGATTTGACTTAGTCAAGTAGCTCTTTTGTTCAGCCAGCAGCCATATCACCCTGCCTCACAACTGGCAGCACACTGAAGCTAAGCAGGTGTGAGTCTGGTCAGTATGTGGATGGGAGACCTCCTGGGAAAAACTAAGGTTGCTGCTGAAAGAGGTGTTAGTGGGACCAGCAGGGGGTGCTCACCCTGCGGTCTATGTGGGTCCTAATGCCCCAGTATAGTGATGGGGACATTCTATTGTAAACAGGTGCTGTTCTTTGGATGAGGTGTCCTGACTCTCTGTGGTCATTAAAAATCACAGCGTAGGGGGTGTAACCCTGGTGTCCTAGTCAAATTCCCATTGGCAAATTTCTCTACCAATCATGGCCTCCTAATAATCCCTATCTATGAATTGGCTTCATTACTGGCTTCCTCCCCACTAATATCTAACAGCTGATGTGTGGTGAGCGTTCTGGCGCACTATGGCTGCTGTCGCATCATCCTGTAAGTCCTGTAAAGTGCTTTGAGTGGAGTATCCAGAAAAGCGCTATATAAGTGTAAGCAATTATTGTTTTGTCTTTTTGTTTATTCTGATGGTTTTCAAAGCACTATTTCCTGCTTTTCTGACATCTATTTCTTTGGCCAAGTCAGTATTTTATTATATTCTTAAACTGTATGTATGCAAAGAATAAAACAATTGTTTTGTCTCGAGATGAATAAGAGTTTATATACAGGTATTGTAAAAATCAATGACACATGAATTTCATATAAAAACAACTGCTTGTGAAAATGAAAGACAAAAAATGGGGTGCTTTCTTCAGACAGTCAAATGTTTGCATTTGAATAATGTAATACCAAATTTGAGATACTGTAGCTTGGTTTGCATTGAGTCTTGATGAACTGAATAACCTATCACCATTATACATTTTTTCATGAAGGACAACTGGAACCTTATGGAGATCGGGATTACTTATTTCATGAACATCCACCAATTTCCTCTAACCAATATGTCACCATCCACTCATATATCAGCAATATACGCCTCTTTCAAGGATTACCAGACTCCATTTTCGATACTTACACAATCAACTATCCATTTTCTGAACATTTACTGTACGTCTGCATTCAAATCACGCGTAGCCACGCACAACACTCAACTTTACGACATCCACTCCCCACTATTTCCTGAAGCGCTGACGTCACTCATACGTGCACGCCTTCAAGCGACAGCGACCAATTCCAGTGTCAATTTCAAATACCCCCTCCATTAACACCCGGTTACATATACTCTAGTATAGAATA